GTTTGCTTCTGCTAGAAAATACTGCGGACTCCCGTGGGCAGACAGTTTCGACGATCTGCAAGGTTCCATGCCAAACGAGACCATAAGACGTTACAGTTCGATCTTCGAGTAAGTACTAACCTCGCAATCCTCTTTCCAATCCCTATTTATACAATCTTCAAAATTCAAAACATACTCCACAATAACTCCAATGTTCGAATCGATTTCAATGGACTCATCAGATCGTGAATAATTCATTCATGAATAAATTTAAACTATGAATAACGATCAAAACACGTTGCTAATTGAAATAGTTAAAAATGGTAAAATTCCCGGAAATAACGGTGCGAATTTCGATCTGATGTTTAGACATCCAGCTGACGTGGACCTGTGGTCCGGCGGTGTGTCGGAGAGGCCACTTCCGGGTAGCATGCTCGGGCCAACCTTCGCTTGTGTAATCGCCACGCAGTTCAGCTATTCCCGCCGCGGTGACCGATTTTGGTACGAGCTGCCGAACCAGCCGTCGTCCTTCACTCTCGGTAAGAAATTCAACCTTTCTAATCGCTGGATTTTCCAATAATTCGTGGATTCTGGCCAGATGGACGAGGATAATTGATGAGAGAGGCTATTCACGCCGGAGGAATGAACGAGCTATATAGAGTTTGCAGAATGTGGACTTCTCTCTTCTAGAATTTTCGAATGCTGAAAATTTCGGAGAACTTTGGAAATTTGGAATTTTAAGATTAGAATTTTAGAATCGTGAAATTTTGGAATTTTTCGACACTCTGGCATCTTAAAACTTTGGAATTTTGGTACTCTGGAATTTTTGAATCTTAAGATTTTGGAATTTTGACAGTCTGGAATTTTCGAATCTTGAAACATTGTAATGTTAACACTCTGAAATTTTCGAATCATGAAATTTTGGAATTTTGACACTCTAGAATTTTCAAATCTTGAGATTTCAGAATTTTGACACTGGAATTTTTGAATCTTAAGATTTTGCAACTTTCACACTCTGGGATTTTCGAATCTTAAAAATTTGGAGTTTTGACACCCCAGAATTTTCAAATTTTAAGATTCTGGAATTTTCGAATCTTAAGATTTTGGAACTTTGACACTCTGGAATTTTCGAATCTTGAAACATTGGAATGTTGACACTCTGAAATTTTCGAATCATAAAATTTTGGAATTTTGACACTCTAGAATTTTCAAATCTTAAGATTTCGGAATTTTAACACTGGAATTTTTGAATCTTAAGATTTTGGAACTTTTACACTCTGGGATTTTCGAATCTTAAAAATTTGGAGTTTTGACACCCCAGAATTTTCAAATTTTAAGATTCTGGAATTTTCGAATCTTAAGATTTTGGAACTTTGACACTCTGGAATTTTCGAATCTTGAAACATTGGAATGTTGACACTCTAGAATTTTCAAATCTTAAGATTTCGGAATTTTAACACTGGAATTTTTGAATCTTAAGATTTTGGAACTTTTACACTCTGGGATTTTCGAATCTTAAAAATTTGGAGTTTTGACACCCCAGAATTTTCAAATTTTAAGATTCTGGAACTTTGACACTCTGGAATTTTCGAATCTTAAGATTTTGGAACACTGGCATTCTGGAATTTGGAAGTTCCAAAATTTTACAGTTTCGAAATCTCAAAACCTTTTCACACTGTGCTTCGTGCTTTGTAGATCAATTGAACGAGATACGGAAAGTGAAGCTGTCCAGAGTGATCTGCGACAACACGGACCTCATCGACACCATACAGATTTATCCCATGGTGTTGCCCGATCATGAGATGTAAGTAAAATTGATATTCGAAGGGGGAAGTGAAGCGAAGTGCTGATTACTGGTTTGGAGAGGAAATTGTATATCGTTTTCAAGATCGTAGGTCGATTCGATTCCATCGTGAGAGAGAATTGATCGAACTGTACGAGGAAGATAGAGGAAAATACGAGAAAGTAACGCTTTCATATTGTGCAATAAAATCAATACCTATTCATTTGTCTCGTAATGAACGTCTTAAAGACGCGGTTCGTTCACCGTGAGAAGCAATATTTATTACTTACTACACGCTGTATCCAATGATTCTTGGATAAATCTCTACGATTGTTGTTAGAAATTTTAACCTCTTAGTTGTGAATAAAGAAATGATAATTTTGTTGTCTAATGACGAGAATACTCGTCATTATAATTTGTTAAATTAAATAACTTGAATTAAATTTTCAAAACATATTTGTAAAGTTTGGACATTTCAGAACATTTCCAGACGATTTTTACATTATTTCTACATATTTTCTTCCTATTAACATTGACTGAAAATAATCGAACAATGAAATTATTGATTTTTCAATTTTACACAGTAGCCGCACATATTCCGTTTTCGACGAGTATAATCGTCATCGCGTTGTCCTAGCGACACACACTTTCAAAAGAGGTTGTTAACATAAACCAATATTATATTTTTGGAACGTGCTGTATCTACCCCTATGAAAAATTTTCAGTCCCACAGAGACTATCACGACATTGCTACACCACGATATATTGTTGTCCCTGACTATCCATTCACCCCAAGGCTTCCCCTCTCGTAACCATCGAACGATCAGACCTGATCATCCGCAAGTAACGCAATTTGCGATTCACCTTGCAGAAACCCACGGGTACCGTGTCGAAGCGGCGTGCTGCCAAGCATGGATCTGAGCAAATGGGCGGAATTCCCAGCCGCGCAATACGTGAGTAACCTAGCGGACAACTATCGACCATACGGAAAGTAAAAAGGCTGTTTTTTAGACGTTTAAAGAAATTTAGAGAGCCTACCGCCTAGACGAGAACGACACACCACCAATGTAGTGAACGGCGAGTCACGAGCCAACAGAAGCACCAACCCCCTAGCCAACCCCCTTACACCTCGAGATACACGATAATCACGGTACTGTAGATAGACTGCGTAGACTATAGACACGCCAGTCCGCCATGTTGCATTTCGAATCAGCTTTATTATTTAGAGATCACAGCGGTAGACGAACGTTGACACTGTTCTAGAAACCAAATGGAACAGCAATTCCCTATTCCCTCTCCCCCTTCCTCCAGAGACCTCTAATTAATTCGTACACTCGATAGCGAGACGTTTAATTTATTGCCAGGCTAGATTACTATAGTTTATGCATCGATCGAAACTATGGATTACGTCTTTCTTTGTCGTAGTCTCTCCTGTTACGTTTCTCTCTTCTTTCTGCTTTATTTTTTTTTTTCTTCTCATTTCTCACGCGTAAAGATAAATGTAACTATAACTTTAAGAACATTCAGGACGTTTAACGATTTTCAGAGTCGATGACGACTTTTCCACGGGTATAGTGATGAAAGGAAGTGTCAAGCACAGAGTAGATTGATTCGTTGTTCGTTCTTCGATATTCTTGTAAAGTGTGACTGATATTCTGATGCATCGTGGCTCATTGCAACATGCACATATTTTGCAACAAATTTTTCTAGAAATTCGCTATTGTGTGCGTTGCACTTCCACATTTTGAAATTCCACTCAATCACTGTTGCGAGATCGTATCGTCATCCGACTAAGATTTGAAAGCTATATCTGAAAATATGTACGGAAATCGAAAAAGTTTGTAATAAATATCTCATAACTTCCATATATATATATATATATATATATATGTATACATTTTCAGATTGCTTTCAAGTTCGAACTATCAAAATGTCTCACGTAACACGCGCAGAATGCGAACGTGAAGATTCTCTTTCTTGGATTAGAATTTCATTCAAGAGATCTCGGTAGAATCTCGCCAGAAATTCCAGGAGAACTTCACGAGGAATTCAATTCAGCTGTTTCGTGCTAAGTCTTTCGTTCGTCGCTGTTATACATGCCTATATATACGATTCGATAAGAATCCTGTGACGTATCCTCACAACCAACAGACTCGAACGAAAAAAAAAAAGAAAAAGAGAAACAGCGTAGTGTAAGTTTTTTTGCGCATTACTCGCCAGTAATTCAATCGAAACACGGGAGTAGGCGATTCAAGTGACTGCAGTTGCAAATTCGTTGCGCAATGACAGGGACGCTGTTCCACTTAGGAACAATTTCCACGCCGATTGCTTTTAATAATCGCATTTCGACGATACGCCAGCACTAATACAATAGAGAGCATTTTAGTTGCGCTTGTGTTCAATTGTATCGCAGTCGAGAACGATTGCAATTTGTATCACACAGGATTAACAGGTTGCTCTCCTTTCGTTCATCCTTCGCTTCGTCTCGTCGTTAGTTTATCTCTAGAGTATCTAGATTATCTAATACACGCGCAGTAGTACGCGTATAGTAGTAGATCGTACGTAAGATCGTCTTCGTGTCTTTTTTTTACGAGAGAATGTGTTCGCGTGTTTGAAGTGTGTGAATACCTGTCGAATACTCGAATTTTATTCTCACGGTGGGCACACGTTCTCCACAGGTGAGCTTTATTTTGACAACTGGCTCGAAACGATTTGAATGTCATTGAAATTTGTATTTTTATTTTCACTTTCTTGATGAGAAATGTTGCAGCTGGATCGTGGATTTTTATGTATTTAAATGAAAAAAATTCGCATGAAAATCTGCAGTTCGGATACATTGCTATCATTTCACGCCAGTGTCAATAAGATTTCGAGCCATGGGAATTGAAGAGTTAATTTCTTTGTTCGAAACAACTATTTCAATATTTAATCCACTGACGATGCAGCTCAATCTTGTACGTATATTATACGAATCTGTTAATTTATAATTGACTCACAATAGTATATAAATTCGAATTTACATATATATAGAACTATGAGCGTTGTAAATATTGAATCACATTTCTCCCAGATTTTTAGCACGACTTTCAATGTACCATCAAAAATCTTCACGTCGAATAACTTACCCTTCGTACATAATAGCAAGACTGTGAATGTTCGTGTAATTTAAACTTACTTTCATAAAACTAAAGAAACGGACTTATATTCTTCTCCTACGGACTTCACAATTTTCTCGTAAATACATACAAATCCGCAATCCAGTGATAAACCGCACACGATGTACATAACGTGCACGTAACGCAAAGTTCGCACGTTTTACAACAACGTCCATTGTCTAGTCTTCCTGTTTATCACGACGAATACCCCAAATTCTTGCCCCGAAAGAGGAAAACAGGGAAACGAGAAACGCAAAGGATTTTTCGATAGAAAAATTCGAACAAAATTACTTTGGTTATTATTTCTTCGAATAAGACAGAGAGAGAGAGAGAGAGA